TACTCCATGTATATATGTCAAAATACACTCTACTGTCATATACATCTAAATAGAACAACAACAACAAAAACTTATGGATAAAGAGAAAAGCAATATAAAGTAGAAAGTATTTAGAATGAGTGATAATATAATACAGAATACAACTTGTTGGTATACAGTTGCACCTATAAAAATATAGAGCTTTAAATAATTATATTAGGAAAAAAGCTGTGTCTACCTTATAAATTTTGAAAACAGAAAAGCAAGATGTATACTTAACGAGCATTCATATATACATATGATTTATTTCTGGCTCTCTATTCTACTCCACTGGCCTGTCTTGAATATCCTAACTTCATATTAACTCTTACAATCTTGTTCATCTTCACAAGTGTGTTGATAATTCTTTGTACTTCCATATAAATTTTAGAATCAGCTTGTTATTATACTAGTTTTCCAGCCTTCCATACCTCTCCCCCCAAACCCCTCTTGAAATTGATTAGAACTACAGTGAATCTAAGATCAATTAAGGAAGAACTGCCTTCTTTTCATATAGCAGCTTTCTTCATTTACTTTAATTTTCTGTCTCTATAAAGGTCTTATACATCTTTTGTTAGTTATTCTTATTTAGTGCCATTACAAACACCATCTTTAAAATTCTTTCATTTTCTAACTACTGTTAATACAACTGAGTTTTAATTATTTTATTTTTTTGTAGTGCTGGGGATTGAACCCATGGCCTTGTGCAAGGCAAGCACTCTACCAACTGGGCTATCTCCCCAGCCCCTACAACTGAGTTCTTAAATGTTGATTTTGTATTGAGTAACCCTGTTAAATTTTACATCCACAATGATGACCATATGATTTTTCTCTTTTAATCTGAATTTCTGCTATTAAACCAACTTCACATTCCTGGTATAAATCAGTCTGGGAATGATATTATCTTGTACATGCATTGCTAGATTCTGTTTCTTAATATTTTGTTTAGGATTCTTACATTTATATCCATGAAGAAGACTAGCTGGTGATCTTCCAGTTTTACAGTCTGTATTGAATTTTGTTATCARAATTAACTCAGTTCATTATCATTTGAAGAGTCAAGACTGGAACTCTTTGTTTTGTCATTGTGGGACAAAACTTAGCTATAAGACCATTTGGTACTAGGGGTAGTGGAGCACACCTGTAATTCCAGCTACCTGGGAGGCTAGGCAGGAGGAAGGCAAATATGAGGCCAGCCTGGGCGACTCAATCTGATCCTCAAAGGAAAAAAAAAAAAAACACAATTTTTAACGGTGAGGGGTGTAACTCAGTGGAACTGAGTGCCCCTAATCCCCAGTACCACGGGGGGGGGGGGGTAACAATATGAAAAACATCTGGTTTTGATGAGTTCTTTGAAGGAGAGGGGAGAGTTTTGTTTATGTTTTATTTATTAAAGGATGATTTATATTTTCTACTTTTCCTTTAGTTTTGAAAAGTTGTATTTTCTTTGCTTTTATTAACTTCATTCTCTTTGCATTCCTACTATTATTTATCTCTAACTTTTGCTTTTATTCTTTTTCAGTTTTGGCAGAAGTTAACAATTTAGTTAGACCTTTTAAAAGAACAACTTTTTTTCTTTTTTGATCCTCTATGTTTGTATAGTATAATGGTCAAGACTCCAAACTGGCCATGGTGGCTCATTCCTGTAATCCCAGCAGCTCCAGAGACTGATGCTGGAGGATCACAAGTTTGAGACTGGCCTCAGCAACTTAGCAAACCTTGTATCAAAATAAAAAGAGCTGGGGCTGGGTGCAGTGGCACCTGCCTGTAATCCCAGCAGTTTGGAGGCTGAGGCAGGAGGGTTGCAAATTCAAAGCCAACCTCAGCAAAGGCAAGGTGCTAAGAACTCAGTGAGACCCTGTCTCTAAATAAAATACAAATACAAAATAAGGCTGGGGATGTGGCTCAGTGGTTGAATGCTCCTGAGTTCAATCCTCAATACCCACCCTCAAATTAAAAAAGAGAAAAGAAGGGCTGGGATGTAACCATATCCCCAAAAACACAAGAAAAGAAAAAAAGAAAAAAAAAGGAATATTGGAAAACAGACTCTGATATAAGACTACCTGGGTTCAAATTCCAACTCTTGTACTTACCAGTTATATGAACCTGGGCAAAGTACATGACACTCTCTATTTAAATGTCTTCACTTTTAGAAGAATGATTACAACACTTATTACCTCAAAGAGTTATTCTGCATGTTGAGTTAATAAACATAAGATATTTAAAACACTATACAGCTCATAGTTAACTATATGAATATTTGCTACTATTAGTACTAATAGTGCTATTGCTAAAAAGTGAATACATTGACAGATATTTAGTTAAGATGGCACAATAAAACAGTTAAGCACATGGATCTTGTTGGTGTGTTATATACTTCATAATGTAGCTGCTGTTGTTATTAACAAATTTACTTACCCAGCAAATATGCTAAAAATGTTTTAATTTATATGACAAAGGAAGAATTAGATACCAATAGACAAAGATCTCTAACTAAAAAGAAAAAAGAAAAACAAAGCTGGGGTTGTAGCTCAGTGGTAGAGTGCTTTCCTAGCTCCTGAGACACTGGGTTCAATCCCCAGCACCACATTAAAACAAACAAACAAAAACTAAACAAAATAGAAATGTATTACTTTTCATCTAATTGAAAAAGACTGAAAGGCAAATGGATAATATGTATCAAAAATTTTAATGTGCATATTCACCACTGCAATAATTTGACTAGAAATTTAGCCTTAGGAAGAAATGAGACAAGCAAGCAAAAATCTATATGCAAGATTTTCACTGTTAGCACTATTACAAAAAAAAAAAAAAAAAGAAAAGAAAAGAAAGAAAGAAAAGAAACAAATGTCTGTCCACAGGTCACCATTAAATAACATGAAATAAAATTATTCATTAAAGCCAGGCACAGAGGCACACACTTGTAATCCCAGTGACTTGGGACACTGAGGTAGAAGGATAACAACTTTGAGGTCAGCCTTAGAAACCCAGTGAGATCCTAAGCAATGTAGTGAGACCCTGTTTCTAAATAAAATACAAAAGAGGGCTAGGGATGTGGCTCGATGGTTTAGTGCCCTTGAGTTCAATCCCAGGTACCAAAAAAAAAAAAGGAAAGTCTGACTTTTTATTTATATTTAATGCCATATATTATTCACTAAAACTGAAATAAAAAGGGGCTAAGAGGTCAAGTCAAACCTGGGTCTAGGAACATCTGATTTTCTCCTTCATACAAACTCCTCAATTTATATTTATATAATAGTTCAATCTGATGAAAAATGAGGGAGATCTGATGTTATAGTTTATAGAAACTATAAAACAATGATCAGAATAAAAAGGAGGTTCTTAGGTATTTATAGGTGGTACTAAACACTGAATTTTCTAGACTCTAACCATGGCTTTGCAGACAAGGGTCAATTAACTTTACCTATCTGGATCTCATTTTCCCTGGTTATGAAATTAAGATGTTTATCAGGATAATTTCTAAATTCCTTCTAAATTTAACATTCAAAAAACTAGGCACAGTGAAGGGCAGATATACCAGATGACTGAGATTTCTAGATTAGAATATTAAACTGAAAAAAAAAAAAAGGAAAGAAAAAAAAAAGAAAAAAGCCATAAGCAGTGATACATGCTTAGAATCCCAGCAATTTGGGAAACTGAGGCAGGAAAATTACAAGTTCAAAGCCTGCCTCAGCAACTTGGCAAGACCATCTCAAAATAAAAATAAAAAGGGTTGGGGATGTGGCTCAGTGGTTACRCACTCCTGAGTTCAATCCCCAGTACCAAAAAATTTTTAAAAATCAATCAATCAATAAAAAGAATCCTAAACCAGCCTTAGAAGAAAGGAATTAAGTTCGGTTCTGTATAAACTGTAAAGATATCTCTAAATCTAATAATTAGCTACAAATTTAATTCTGGCCTTTAGAAGAGAAAACTGGGAGTCACTAGAATCCTGGTGAAATATGAAACCACTGATGAGATTACTGAAGAAAAGAAAACATGGGAAAAACAAAAGAGTGAACACTAAAGTTTAAAAGGTAAATGGTAGAAGAAAATGATGGATTCAAGGCAAACATGAACAAAGTAGAATATAAACAAATCAAGGAAAAAAAAATAATTTCTAAAGCTAACCTTATGCTATCATGCAGTATCATATTGGAAAAGACAAAAGAAATCAATGGATTTAGATATAAGCCAGGCAATGATTACCAACAGATCAAATCCCACATGTTTATTGAAACTACCTGTTTGAATGGTACTAATTGTAACTTTCCTCTGGTAAGGAATTCAGATGTTGTGTAAGATAACTTGACTCTATCATTCACACCTTCACAAAAGTAAAATAAAGAAAAACCTCATCATAGTTTTGTTTCAAAATGATCTGGGGCTTGATATCAAAACTGAGTCCAAACAACTTAGTGTGACATTCATCTTTCATATTCTATCTTTCCACCCACTCTCCTACATTCCTCACCCACAGAGAATATGCCTACTCCCCCAAGCTGCAAGAAACATATACTATCGCCCTTACGTACCTTCTCTACCTGCAGAAAACCTATTCTTTTTTTAAAAAGCACATTTTAAAAGCAAACTTTTAAAAAGAACACATAAAATAAACACAAAACAAATATCAGGGTATAAGATTTCAACCCAATGCTATCATTTACATTAATGCAAATGGTCTATCCATTGACTATAAGGCAGATTATCATATTCAATAAATAACAATATATACTGATACAGTTATAAAAACACTACAGAAACTAAGAATTTAGAGAACAATCCAGGTACCTAAACAGTGAACATAATTCTGCTAGATTTCTTTCAATACTTAAAACTCCTAAATATCTCAAATGAAAGCAAATGATGATATAATTAACCTCAAAATGAAGCAATATGGCATTGTCTCCCTTAATTGTCCCATATTTTAAGAGTTCCATGTTAGTTCCTCCACCAAATAAATAAATTCCATAAACACTGACCTTGCCATGGCTTCTTTCCACTTTCTGAAAACACTTATTTAGGGACAGATTATGTCGAACAGAATTCTTCCAGCCTGTAGGTGCAGTAGCAAAATATGGAAAATGGTCCAGAATCCAGCTATAAATTTCTTTGACAGGCAAACATTTATTTGGAGAGTGTTCAATAGCCATATAAATGAGAAGACTAAAAGAGTATGGGGGCTTTGAAGTTGTTGATTTTTGTTCTGGGCTCTGGTAGCAAGATGGTCCAAAGATTGGTACATCATCTCCTTCTATGTCATACAATGGACTAACCATTGGAGGACCCTCACTTCCGAGGCTGAAGTTTGTTAGAAGATTAGTACTTTCATGAAGCCAGTTCAAGTTTGTGAGCTCATCATCTGCGGACTCATTGCCTACTAGAGTGGCCTTTGGCCTGGCAGCATCAACAGCTTCAGGCAAACTTCCCATTTTATAAATCTGACTTAGTGCCGCAACCTTTTCAGCTCCCGGGGTTTCAGCTGTCTTATCTGGAGTCATTCCAATTACTGGACCCATTTACTTTAATAGGTCTGAAACAAAGGAAAAAATGATCAGTCAATGTAATACTGACATTCTTAAACTTTGGAAAAAGCAAATACAGATTTAAATGTTCACAAATCAAAAAATTTATAATTATCCCTCCTAATATTTAAGACAATACTTATATAATAAAGAGTTATTATATAAGTAACAGATTTATATTATTTGAAACAACGGTTAAGTACATTTTTTCTTCTTGTGGTACTAGGGATTTAAGCCAGGAGCACTCTACCACAGACCTACAACCCCAACCCTTTTTTATTTTTGAGACATGAAATCTCTAAATTGCCAAGACTGGCCTGGAACTTATGATTCTTCTGCCTCAGTTTTCATAGTAGTTTGGGATTACAGGCATGAAGCCACCCCACACACCTAAAACCATAAATAAAATAATGAAAATAAATTAAAATACTGTTTAAATGATAGTTCCAAATAAATGCTTTCATCAGATCTGAAATATTTACTATAAGAAGATTAACCATTAATTATATTTTATAGAATCATATAAAAATGATTTTTAATTGAAAAATTATAAATATATATATTTGGAAGGTACAATGTGATATGGTACATGTATATACTGTGGTAGGATTAAATCAAGCTAATCAACATATCCATCAGCTCATTTTCATTGTAGTGAAAACACTTATCTACTGTTTTGGCAATTCTGAAATATATGGTATGCTATTATTATTAACCATAGTCATCATGCTGTGTGATAGATGCCTAGAACTTATTCTTCCTGTGTAACTGAAACTTTGTACCCATTGACTAATATCTGTCCTTTCCCTATCCACCTTCCCTCACACCCCCAATAGTAATTCATAACCACTGTTCTGCTTTCTGAGTTCAACATTTCCTATTCACCAAATTCCTTATCACCTAAGTTGAATTTACTATAAATTTATTGTCCTTTATAAACACTAGTATTTTAAATTTTGCATTCTGCTGGGTACAATGGTGTATGCCTGTAATACTGGTGACTTGAAGAGATTGAAACAGGAGGATTTAAAGTTCAAGGCCAGTCTTATAAACTAAGAATCTCAGCAACTTAATGAGACCTTGTCTTTAAAAATAAAAAATTACTGGGGATTTAGCTCAGTGATAAAATACCCTCAGTTCAATCCCCAGTATATACATACATACATAAATTTTGCATTCTCCCATCTCAAGTGCTGACATTCCCCTAGTGGTATACACTGTATTACCACCAAGAGAGGGGGAAAAGCTGTTTCTAAACTATCCTTTTTCATTTGTTTTGTCAAATGATTTGTTTTGCTTTTAAAACACATTTAAATTAAAAATAACACCATGGGATAATAACTAAACAGAGGAAAGTGATAGAACTAATGTGCTATTTCATTTTCTTTTCTTTTTTGGTACCTGGGATTGACCTCAGGAGCCTTCAACTACTGAGCCACATCCCCAGCCTATTTTTATTTTTAGATTTTATTTAGAGACGGGGTCTCATTGAGTTGCTTAGTGCCTTGATAAGTTGCTGAGGCTGGCTTTGAACTTGCAATCCTCCTGCTTCAGCGTCCAGAGCTGCTGGAATTATAGGCATGTCACCATGCCTCATAAAAAGACCTTATTTCTGAATGCAGTGAAAAAAATAGGGACAAGTACCTTCAGAGTTTTATTTTGGAATACAGCTGACATGTTACTTCAAGAATTATGCAAACTGTTCAAACTGGTAGCTACTAGCTACCAGAATTCCGATGGACATCTAAATTAGCAATAGCATCAGCTAAGATTTTTGAGGCCACACATTGTGCCAAACACTCTACATACCATCGCTCAATTAATCATTAATTAAACCCTAAAAAATTGATACTATTATTAATAATCATCTTTTATAGATAAGGAAAACGACTCAGAAAGGTTAAACACACTGTTTAAAGTTTGTAGGGGCTAGTAAATGGAAATATCAGAATTTAAACCCAGGCAGATTAAAATCTTATCATCATTCTCTTCATATCTAGTTTCTATCTTTCTATGACTTGAAACATCAAGACACTGTAAAAAGGAAAAAAATCAAACTATAACAAATTAAGTTTTTATTTCAATCAATACACATACAAAAATCTACATTTATTGTGAACATGTTACAATAAATTTCAGAGCTGACCTCATGTTCGTTGTAACTCACTGAATTATTCTTTTTACCAAAGTCTCTAATAACAACAGAGACTTAATATGGTAAGAATTCATTGATTTCAAAGTCTTGCTTCCCTTTTAAAAAACAAAACTCTTTAGTGCATCCAGAGTCCAATTAAAAATAATTAATAAATAAAATAATTCTTTACCCCAGCCCCAAGAACTGGGGGTTGAACCCAGTGGTGCTCCAGCCCTTTAAAAATTTTAAGACAGGTTGTCAATAAATTGCTGAGGCTGCCTCAAACAATCTTCCCGCCTCAGCCTCTGGGGTCACTCCCACCACCACACCCAACAAAGTATTTTACTTTAGACATGAATTCTTAAATGGAAGGAAACCTTCTAAATGGTAACAATCCAAAACCAGAACTTCATTGTCATGAATAAGAAAATGGAAGTGAAATAAACCAGTTGCCTAAGGTTCAAAAGTTAATGAAAAATAAAGCCAAAATTATAACCCAACTGAATTCAAGTTTTTTTTAAAAGAGAGAGTTAGAGTTAGAGAGAGAGAGAGAGAGAGAGAGAGAGAGAGAGAGAGAGAGAGAGAGAGAGAGAGAGAAATTTTCAATATTTATTTTCTAGTTTTCGGCGGACACAACATCTTTGTTGGTATGTGGTGCTGAGGACCGCACGCATGCCAGGCGAGCACGCTACCGCTTGAGCACATCCCCAGCCCCTGAATTCAAGTTTTTGTCCATTAGAGTTGCACCCAATCTCCTAACCCATTAAGTCTCAATTTTTCAATTCTGAGAATATAATAAATATTCAAATATTATTTCAAAGGTACCATAAAGGTGTTTGGGGGTTTGTTTTGGGCTCAGTTTAAGTTTTTTTTTTTTTTTTTAAAGGAGAGAGAGAGAGAGAGAGAGAGAATATTAATATTTATTTTTTAGCTTTCAGCGGACACAACATCTTTGTTTGTATGTGGTGCTGAGGACAGAACCTGGGCCGCACGCATGCCAGGCGAGCGCGCTACCGCTTGAGCCACATCCCCAGCCCCTCAGTTTAAGTTTTAAAGGTGTTGCACACCTAGGACAACTGGACAAAATGGGTTAAGGAAAGTATGTTTTTAGCAATATGGAATCAAAGCACTCAAGCATGCTAGGCAAGTGCTCTACCACTGAGCTACATCCCCAGCCTTCTTAGTAACTACTGGTTCAATATTCTCATCAGAAACTAATTTAGATGGTGGCAAATATGGTATTATTCTAAATTACAAGTTTATAATAAAATTCTATTGCTTTAATAATGCAATATGATGCTAGCAAATATTGTCACACAAACTGTGGATCCACACAAATTTTAAAAATCAAGTATGAACACTGAAAGGCTAACATTCTCTTAGTATACTACATCTGAACTGTCATTTTATTTTCAAGAAGAAAAAGAATCATTTCTAAAGTATCTTTTCTGAACACTGTAGAACACTAACTTTTAGAGCAGCAAGTCCACAAATGATAGACAAATGACTTTCTCTTACAAATTAAGTAAACATAAACATCAAATAAATACATTAGGATTACTCAAGTTCACTAATGATCAAGAAAATGAAAAACAGAAATGTGATATTATATATAGTGAACTAAACACAGTCTGGAATGTACTAAGATCAGATATCAGTAATATAAATAACTTTATTTTTGCAAATAATTAAAAATATACATAATGTACAACTTGGGGCACAGATCTATGACCATTTTGGAAAAGTTAACTGACAATAAGAATCATTAAAAATTTTACATTCTTTGACTAGTAACTTTTCCAGTCACTTTGATAATATAATCCTACATAGGGAAAAAATACTCCCCTTTCCCTCTCCCCACACATTGTCCTTCCTTCCTTACCCAACCTCATTGTCCACAGAATTTTTAAAGATGATGAAAAACTATTAATAACTACAATGAGAAATGGTAAGCACACATATATTCAATCTAATATTTAGCAGCCATTAAAAATGACTGTCTAGCTGGGTGTGGTGACACACGCCTGTAATCCCAGTGGCTCTGGGGGCTGAGGCAAAAGAATCAGGAGTTCAAAGCCAGCCTCAGGAATTTAGCCAGGCCCTAAGCAACTCAGTGAGACCCTGTCTCAAAATAAAATACAAAAAAGGGCTGGGGATGTGGCTTAGTGGTTAAGAGTTCAATCCCTGGTACAAAAAAAAAAAAAAAAAAAAAAAAGACAAGTTTTCAAACTTATATAAACTGTTAAAAAAAAAAACCTAATGGTTTCTTATGTTACTAACTGGGTAACTCTTTTCTTTGTTGTTTTATTTTCTAGTTTTTTTTAGTGTGTTTATATCTATTCATTAGACAACCTTTTTCTAACATGAATTAGTTCATCAGTGAATAAGGCAATAATTTTAGTATAATGCAAAAATAACATTGGTTTATTATTTTTTTCCTCAGCCTCTTGTTTGCACTACCAAATAAAAACAGCTAAACCCCAAATAGGTTAACACCATGGAAAGCATCAAGCTGCTGAAAATACAGTGCTGTACACAATTCTCATTCAACCCATGTTCTTCCTCTTGGCACAGCTTGGCCACATGGTCTTTCTTGGAAATGCTTAGTGAGCTTTTCTCCAAATCTTTATGCATTTTACCCTGGCCTCTTAAATGCTGTAGCTTCAACCATCCTTTCACACCTTTTTTTTTTAATCCCAAAATGACTGTAGTATTAAAATATTTAGTATTCTTACTAATGTATTTTTTTCCTTAACATTCTGTTACAAAGTTGCAGTGTTTTAGGCAAGCTGATCCATCAATTAGGCACAATTTCTGTATTTTTAGGATAATATGTAATATTGCTACAAAACAATATGTTCACAATAAAAATCA